AGGACGTGAAGAATAAGGGCCTGTCTTCAGATCCAATCATTCATGGAACTGGTAGTGGTGATGAAACTGATCACAGCGGTCGGTTATCTCACGTCAGTGTCAAAAGCTTCCAGTCCACTCAGACCAATGGTTCTCTGGGTCTCAACACCCCTCCCCCAACAGAAGTGGATGAAGACTATAGAGCTACGCGGCGACGACTCGCACGCGAAGCTCGAAAAGCGGATGAACTTGCAGCCGCTTTGCCCCAAAGACTCAGGTCTAGCACCATTCGAGGAGATTCCCCGTCCCAGCCTACACCCGTAGCAACCCGCCCAGCTGCTATGGCACTCTTCGAAACACTTTCTTCATCCCCAGCCAGTATTTCATCAGTTCAACCCTCTTCCTCTCCATTCACCTCTCGGCATGCGCCTCGCGATAGTTCAGCAAGTCGACCATCGCCAAGCATTGAGGACAACTCCTCAAGGATCGAAATTCTACGACGAAACAGCAGCTTGAGTGGCTCGGATCGATCATTGTCTCGGCCACGACCTTCGTCGAACGATGAGACTCAGATCCTGCGCGATCAGTATGAAGGTTGGAAGAGCAATATACGTGATCACTCGGATGCTGTCTTCAGAAACGCTGAGAAGCAATTGGAAGAGTCGAAAGTTCGCTTCCAAAAGGAACAACAAGAAAAGCATGCACGAGCCCAAGCACTATTTGTCGCCCAACAGGAGAAGCTATACCATCAACTAAGTCGGAACCGTGCTGGATCCGCTGGGTCTGCCGCCTTGAATATAGCCCCTGGTTCTAGCCATCCCCGCAGCGGTAGCTTTGCTATGCCAGGTCAAGGCCACGGGTTACCTTCAAGCGCGAGTCCTACTCTTCAACGTGGCGTCCATCCAAGTAGTCCTGTGCCTCCTTCCATCTCTCCTAATCATCCGCTACAAAGCAAGCAATCTCAGACCTTTCAAATGGCTGCAACAACTTCCTCTCATGCTCCACTTCATCGTTCCCAGTCTCGTACTTGGCTGCCTGCAGGTGCATCTCCCTCTGTCAAGCAAACAACAGACTTTGGAAACAGACACTCTGGTGGATCTTCTGATACTGACGAAGCAGAGAATGCTGTAGAAGACGACGAATCTGATGCACCTATCCAATTTGCTCAGCATAAAGGCTCTCTTCCCATTTCTATTCCTAATTCTACGGCTGGTCACAGACGAACAAGTTCTCAGATCCATACCGGTGCCACAACGATGTCAGGTACTCCAAGGGGGACCCTCCCACAACAACAACAACAACAACAACAACACCTCAGAAACTCTTCCTCTACTACATTCTCTAGTGGGACCCAGTCAACACGCTCATCGGGTGGTTGGTCAGGCGCGTCAGGCGCGTCTTCTAATACCACGGTGACATCATCTGACACTCCTGGCTCTCGACGTGGATCGATGGGTGAAAAGACCTTCATACCACCTACTGGATTGCACAATGATTTACGAAAGAACTCGCTTACCACTGCTATTCCTGGAAGTTCACCTCCCACTCAACAGCCTCGCTGGGCCTCGACATCTAAGATCACTTCGGAAGGTTCAACGAGCACAACGCATAGCCCAGCATCCACCTTGTCTCGTGCTTCAACGCTTGCTCATCCCAGCTCAAGTGGTGTAGGGCCTATCAACATTGCTCCTTCACGTCCCTCAGTTCAACAATGGCATGCAATGGCCACTGCTGCAACAGCGAGTGGATCTTCTCCTTCTACATCCTCCACGACTCCCAACTCTGGCACAGCCATACCTGCAGTTGGATCTATTCCACGCTCAACACCTGCTGGACCTCTTGGTGTCGGACAGTCTCCCAACAAGTCAGCCTGGAAATCGAGTGACCAAACCTCACCGCCAATTCCCATACAGACGAAGCCATCTGGACCAGGCAGAGGCCGTTCAGATAGCTCAGCAGCCGGTGTCAGCCCTCCTGTCGCATTTGGTACTACTCCTCGTCCTAGCCCCCCACTAAAGACTTCTATGTCATCTTCTGATATTTTTTCTACTGTGACAGATGCTCCTAACCTCAAGTCGACCCCCTCTATTTCTTCTTTCCCGAAGCCTCCTGTTCCTGAATTTCCACCTATGGGATCTCGTTCCGCGTCGCCATCTAAACTTTCTTTCATTCCTCCTAAATCATCGCCTGCTCCCGCCAAAGTCACGTCAGCTCAGTCAAAATCCTACCACCCCGAAGCACAGCAACCCTCCCCTGAATCAGAAACTGCACCCTCTCGACGAGAAACCAAATCTAAGTCCGAGGGAAGGCGTCGACCCAAGGACAAAGGAAAAGAACGAGAGGAGGAAGCGCGAAAACGTGAACAAGAGGAGGAAGAACGACGAAGGCTTGAAAAGGAAGCAGAGGAACAAAGAAAACGCGAAGAAGAGGAAAAGGAACGACAGAGACGCGAGGAAGAAGAAAAGGAGCAAATAAGGCGTGAAGAAGAAGAAAAGGAACGAGCAAGAAAGGAGCAGGAGGAAAGAGATCCCATAGGTGGAAATTCAGGAACAGGAGGCTTCGGGAAAGAAGAAATAGAGGGGGTCGACTTGAGGTTAGGAGCATCTGTCACAGTAGAAAAAATATCAGAAGATGACATAGAAGTCTTTAGTGGGGGGCTAGGACGAGGAGTAGTACCAAATGCGACAGGAGGGCTGACACCGGCTGCTGAGCTATCTGAACGGCCTCTGCCTGGTCCAGATGGCTTCGTCTGTATGGGAATTGGCGGTGAGGTTTGGTCACTCGATTTCCAGGCTGACTTGTTGGGAGACTGTCCGACACCAAGAGGTCCAGCAGGTGTTGAGCGTGGAATAGATCCAACTGCAGGTATGGCTGTGCCAGAGTTGGGAGTCGTGGAGGATGTAGAAGGAGAAGATCCACTCGCTGTTGCAGCAGTGGCCATTGCATGCCATTGTTGAACTGAGGGACGTGAAGGAGCAATGTTGATAGGCCCTACACCACTTGAGCTGGGATGAGCAAGCGTTGAAGCACGAGACAAGGTGGATGCTGGGCTATGCGTTGTGCTCGTTGAACCTTCCGAAGTGATCTTAGATGTCGAGGCCCAGCGAGGCTGTTGAGTGGGAGGTGAACTTCCAGGAATAGCAGTGGTAAGCGAGTTCTTTCGTAAATCATTGTGCAATCCAGTAGGTGGTATGAAGGTCTTTTCACCCATCGATCCACGTCGAGAGCCAGGAGTGTCAGATGATGTCACCGTGGTATTAGAAGACGCGCCTGACGCGCCTGACCAACCACCCGATGAGCGTGTTGACTGGGTCCCACTAGAGAATGTAGTAGAGGAAGAGTTTCTGAGGTGTTGTTGTTGTTGTTGTTGTTGTTGTGGGAGGGTCCCCCTTGGAGTACCTGACATCGTTGTGGCACCGGTATGGATCTGAGAACTTGTTCGTCTGTGACCAGCCGTAGAATTAGGAATAGAAATGGGAAGAGAGCCTTTATGCTGAGCAAATTGGATAGGTGCATCAGATTCGTCGTCTTCTACAGCATTCTCTGCTTCGTCAGTATCAGAAGATCCACCAGAGTGTCTGTTTCCAAAGTCTGTTGTTTGCTTGACAGAGGGAGATGCACCTGCAGGCAGCCAAGTACGAGACTGGGAACGATGAAGTGGAGCATGAGAGGAAGTTGTTGCAGCCATTTGAAAGGTCTGAGATTGCTTGCTTTGTAGCGGATGATTAGGAGAGATGGAAGGAGGCACAGGACTACTTGGATGGACGCCACGTTGAAGAGTAGGACTCGCGCTTGAAGGTAACCCGTGGCCTTGACCTGGCATAGCAAAGCTACCGCTGCGGGGATGGCTAGAACCAGGGGCTATATTCAAGGCGGCAGACCCAGCGGATCCAGCACGGTTCCGACTTAGTTGATGGTATAGCTTCTCCTGTTGGGCGACAAATAGTGCTTGGGCTCGTGCATGCTTTTCTTGTTGTTCCTTTTGGAAGCGAACTTTCGACTCTTCCAATTGCTTCTCAGCGTTTCTGAAGACAGCATCCGAGTGATCACGTATATTGCTCTTCCAACCTTCATACTGATCGCGCAGGATCTGAGTCTCATCGTTCGACGAAGGTCGTGGCCGAGACAATGATCGATCCGAGCCACTCAAGCTGCTGTTTCGTCGTAGAATTTCGATCCTTGAGGAGTTGTCCTCAATGCTTGGCGATGGTCGACTTGCTGAACTATCGCGAGGCGCATGCCGAGAGGTGAATGGAGAGGAAGAGGGTTGAACTGATGAAATACTGGCTGGGGATGAAGAAAGTGTTTCGAAGAGTGCCATAGCAGCTGGGCGGGTTGCTACGGGTGTAGGCTGGGACGGGGAATCTCCTCGAATGGTGCTAGACCTGAGTCTTTGGGGCAAAGCGGCTGCAAGTTCATCCGCTTTTCGAGCTTCGCGTGCGAGTCGTCGCCGCGTAGCTCTATAGTCTTCATCCACTTCTGTTGGGGGAGGGGTGTTGAGACCCAGAGAACCATTGGTCTGAGTGGACTGGAAGCTTTTGACACTGACGTGAGATAACCGACCGCTGTGATCAGTTTCATCACCACTACCAGTTCCATGAATGATTGGATCTGAAGACAGGCCCTTATTCTTCACGTCCT